TGCAGGCCCAAAGGGTGAGGGACAGAAGGTTTGGGAAGCGTACCAGCAGACACTTGGCCATAAGAAAGCTGATAATGGGCCCTCTGAGATCAGGCCTCCCGAAACAATGGTGAAAGTGAAGATCGAAAGGCGACCGCCTTGTCCTCTTCCACCCCCAACAAGTCCTGATGGAGTTCTCTTCCCACCGCTGCGGCCGCGGACGTCTCATACTGATAACAGTAACAAAGTAAACATACCCGACAGGCCAGATGCGCGGAGAGATTCTGGCTTCTTGAGCTCAATCTATGGACCACCGATAGCCGCTGAAAGAACAGTTGGATCAATAGTTGATGTGAGCAACGCTCACCCTCCCTTCCCAAGAATAGACACAGCACCGAAGGTACGAAGAGCTAAAGACGTGCCAATCGTAGATTTCCAACAGCCCGCTGAGAAGGAAGAGTCCAACTCATGGTGGAAACATTCGCCTTCCAGAGCACCTCAATCTTTGAAGTCCAAGATCTCACGTCCTGTCCCACTAATAGAACCAATCCAAGATACCACAGTCAACGTAACTGTAGAACGCGGTAGAATTGCCGGACCTACAGCTGAACTTCCCCTTCCCGTAACCCGCACTGACGTTCCCTTTTCCCAGCCGTCTTACGTCCATGAGAAGACTAAAGAAACTGGCCGACCCTCACCTCGAGCTTTTCATCTCCCTGGGTTCCATCTCAGTCCTGCTAAGAGCAAACGCAACGGCCGAGGGAAAGCAAATGTAGATGCGAACGACGACGCTCACTCGACACACTGGCACGACAAGGTCGTAGGACCAACGTTGAAGACCGGTAAGTCGTTGAAGCAAACTGCTATGCAGACTCTAGACAGCGTACACTCAGGGAGAAAGAAGACATTTTCGGAAATTAGCTTTGCGTGCCAGGGTAGGGTAGACGATGGACTGGATAGGTATCAGGTCAGTGAACAAAACTCGTCAAGCGACGATGAAGAGGACCTGTATCCTGAACCGTTGTTCTATGGTAAGATGTTAGGCAGAGATAAGAAGTTATCTGGACCTTAACTTGGGGTTTTGAAGGACTAATGAGGCCCTCCTTCGCGTCACTTCTTTCATGGAAGGCCGGATGACGTTTCCATTGTACTATTTTCTATTTATTCATCCTCTGATAATCTCACTGTGGACAGCTTTCGAGCAAGCGTCAAGACGCGCTTGTATTCATATGATAATACATTCATCCTTCACTTGTATTATCTACACCCCTCACACCGAGGCAACCCTTCAACTCGTATCCCCGTGAAAGACCATTACGCAGCCCGACATTGATGAGACGCGGGCATACCATTCGGACGCCTGACATGGCACTACACTGCTCGCATGATCACTTCTCCAAAAGCCGCAACACTCCCCGACCCAATCGTAGTCCTAGCGCTCTGATCATAAATCTGAACCTTGGCGCGCCAGGTATTCTCTAGACCAGGGTAGTAATACTGCACATCCCTATCTATCTGCTGGTAGTCCGAATCAGTGTTGAGCAGACAGGCGTCTTGCGAGTCGCTGAAGCAGTCAACAAAGTCGAGACCGCCGTTGGTAAAGTACGTCCTCGTACGTTTTGCGCTTGTCAAGTATACTTGCGGCCACAGAGCGACAAACTTTACATGCTATCCATCCTTTGCCTTGTCCAGCGAAACATCGGCATCTACATGTGTTCTGATGCCATTCAACTCCGACAACGCAGCAATGAGATCCTTCTGCGGCCCACCCAGATGCTCCAACACCTTCACTAGATTCTCTGTTTTGGGAATGAGCTTGTTTTGCGCTATTTTGATGAAAGAAGCGAGTGGTTTGAAAGCAGTTGCTGCTATCTCCTCGAGCAGGTAGTGTTGGTGATCCAGCGGTGTGGTGGACGAGTTGGACATATTGAGGAAGCTTGAAGTCGAGCCTGCTTCGCTTTCTTCGCTACGTGCGATCTGCTGTTTGGCAAGTCGATCGCGATCAACTACCGCATAAGTGATTGTAGCCTTGAGTCCTAGCGGCATTTCTTCGGTGCACACCACCCCATCTGGCTGGCTACACAGGGTCGCTTTGTATTCCGACCCATGCTGCCCAACGAGAAAAGTGGACACGTTTGACATGGAACTCGGCTGGATGCGGATCGTGGCAGATGAGTGTGGCCAGAATATCTGGGATAGCACAGAATGATTGTGCAGGATCTGGAGAATGCCATCGGCGTTGAGGCCGTCTGGGAGCGGGTATGTGCTTTTGCTGCCTGTTTTGGTAGAATACAAGACTTGCCACTTGTCAGATATCCACTGAATATACCTGCCAGTTGCTGGCGAAGGCACACGTACAAGATGCCATTATACGAGATTTGTCTCCCTGAACTTGATTACTAGCAATGTGTCGCCTCTTCAGTAACGAAGGGGAGGATGCTGATGAAGTCAGGCCGTGGGCACCAAGGTAGTAGCGGTCGTGCCTTTGACTCCGGAGAATGACGTTGTTTGCAAACCGGGGTGGTGGAGAAGCTTCTAAACAAATGCTTAAACGGCAGCCGCGGCAGCGGAGAAGTTTCGGAAGCAATGTCTGAACGGTAATGACGGCACTGGCCTTGTAGTGTATTCAATAGCCTTGCATCATCACCTCTGTACCAACTCAAGCCCTATGCAAACATCTAGTGATAGTGATATACACGTGTATGACGCAGAAGCTGTTCACACTGCTTGGAAATGGACTAAAGTATGAAGGAGCGTGGGAAGCTTACTTAGGACTGAGTCTCGTATTCTTAGGCAGATGTGGAACGGCGTCGCGTGCTGCAGTCTCTAAATAGTTGCATGCAGAACTAAATGTGAAGGATGCCGGTATCAGATGGCTGTATTGACTACTAGAGTGAGATATTCTGACATTGCACAGTCCATCCGAGCTGGAGGCGGAGGATTATGGAGTTGCTCGCACAGGCCACGTGCTGCCAGAGTTTTTGGAAAGCTAAAAGAGGGTAAAATAGTTTCGAAACGGGTTGCCTGACCGTTTTGGCCCCGGCTGATCATCCGCCGTGCATCCGGCGGAGAACGGATGGTCCCAGTGTAGTAAATTATGGGCATGGAAACGAGGATATGCATGAGATGGGGTATTATTAGGCTGGTGAAGATGGGAGGCTGGTAAGATTTAGCATGATGGAGGAGGAGTGGCAAATGCAGGCGCCTGCAGGCTGGGACGAGGAACACGATGAAGCGACTGGAGATGGGACAAGTTTTGGGCTGTGTCGATTGCGAAGATTGCAGAGCTTTAGCCCGGGTTTGTACTCGTGATGTTCATGGAAGGGCGTTGGTGTCTTGACTACGAGTAAGCCGAGACTGATAACTGCGAACTTCATCAGCATCGTCTGCATAGTGGGACGGGCCCTGGGGCGTAGGTGATGAGGCACGGGCGGGAACAGGCGCAACTCATGGCAGTCTCCATCCTCCCGTCAACTCACGCGACGGCCCACTGACCAAGACCAACGTGGCCTCATGAGAGATCCGAACGCGCCACTGCTAAGAAGGATGTTTCCCTATTAGCAGCCTGGCGCATCATTGCCATGGTCTCGTACTACCCCACGATGCAGCCATGGACGAAAATAACCGTGCAGCAAGAAACGAAACAAAACTACCTTAAGGCAGCTAGAGGGCCGACGATATCCAGGTAAATATCATGGTCGGAGGCTAGTGAGTCGATCCGAAGGGAATTAGCATGCGTTGTGCCTGGTCGTGCAGCAGACCCTGGGCGCACAATGCAGCAGCGCTCACATCACGACAGCGGCATTGATAGCTGCTTACAGCCAAGGCTTCTTGGATTGATCCAGATGGGCTGCTGATGAAGTGCGAGCGGGCGTGCGGATCCTTTATTCGAGTCGTTGCCAGCGGGCCATGGCGCGACCGAGCTTGCTCAAGGGCGGATCGGAGACACGCAGGTGCCGTGGTGTCTTGCTGTTGCTGTCTTGTCGGGACTCGATGTCGCCCTTGGACTTGACGAGAGGTGGGCCGCTATCAGAGCGGGGCGGCGCCTTCCCTCTCGTCTTGGAGGCTCCTTCCCGCCGCCATTGGTCGTCTGAGTTTGCTGCGCGCTTCCCGCAAGCTTAATCCGCCCTAGCGCCCACTCTGCGTGATGCACAGGCCCTGCACCCTTCAACCACTCACCGGCGACAACCACCATGTCGCGTTTTGCAGGCGTCAAACGTCTTGCATTCATTGGACGTCAGCCACTCAATGCCCTGCCGACCGCGACGCCAGCTCGCTGGACAGAGTTCGCTCCCGAGGGCACGAGGCGTGGGCATGGCTTTGTTCCTCGTTTTACCTATACCTCGGACGGCCCTCACAACGTCTGGAGGCGCAAGAGCAGACACGCACAACTGACCCATCCAACGGCCTTGCGAGGAAAACTGCCATTGCCACGCTGACTGACGGCATAAGCACCCTGTCAGATTTGCCCTTAAACCAAGCTCTTCGCGCTGCAGTGTCCAGGTCTGGATGCGCGTCGTTTGTAAATCGTCTATCGACTTCATCCGGGCGTCTATTTCTGGGCCACCACTCCCCTCCTCGCTCTGCGCGCCATTGGCATCCAGCTCGTCTCCCCACCCAGCCTATCAGACGCCCACCTGCAGTACTCCCAGCAGCCTTCCTCTAGGCGCCATACATTTAGAACGTTGTAAGTACCCGCCCGCTTTCCCATCGCAACCTTCTCCACCTGCTACCATCCGTGCTCCCCACTATCCAATCCTCGACCGTTCCCTCCTCGAAGCGCCCTGAGCCTAAAAGCCCAGCGCTTCGCCCATTGCTAGACCTCGTCTTTTCTCCAGCAGGTCTCTTATTGTAATACGTCGTGCGTCTTTTATCATTTGTCTCTCTTACCCTCTTGCGACTGGTCTAAGCTGGCCTGGATTTTGGTCGTCGTCGTCCTGTCTTACATTTCTACCTCTCTCTCCCGTCTCCACTACATGAAAGCCTCCAGCTTCCTCGAGTGAACCTTGGATTCTCTTAGAATGGCCGCCAACGATAAGAAGATTACCCAGATCACGATTGAACGACGAGGCTCCAAAGACTCCCTCGACGTCAGGACTCCACGCGCAGCACGCTTCGCCGAAGCAACATCAGTCTACTCGCCGGTTGATCCTCCTCGGTCGCCCATCGAGTACCCAACCAACCACTACAAGCCACAACCCCAGATCGCAGACACAGGCTTCGGCTACATGCAATCCGTCGAGATGGAGGAAACCGATCGGAGGTACCTTCCTCCACCAACCCCCAAAACCCCACTCAAGAGTGCATTGAAGTCGCCTGGCGCTCCGCCCCGGACGCCGGCCGGCGCAATGTCAATCATGAGCCCTACCTTCCGGGAAGAGCATCAGCTTGAGAAGCGGGAAGCCATGACCGACAAGGAGCAAGCAAAGGATTTGGTAAGTCTTCAGTCAGTCTTTCAGTCACATGCAGTTGCTAATAATGCATAGAAAATCAAGGTTCGCGTTCGACTAGCAAAGATCTTCCTACGGGGCATCAACTTTGCCTGCTCGCTCATCGTCCTTGCCATGGTCGCCAGTGCCTTTGCCATCTTCAACGCCACAAAGAACCTCGCACCAAGGAACAACCTTCCACCATGGGCCGATAACACCAAGGTCTGGCCTCAGATTCTTCTGCTGTCCATCGCCTGCGTCTCCCTCGTCATGTCTATCTTTGTCATCATCGCCTACTGGAGAGGAGGTCACCATCGAGCTGAAAAGGTTGCGGCATACTACACTGTCTTTGCTGTTGGATTCTTCATCTTTAGCATCGTCATGTGGGGTGTTGGTGCAGCCGTATTCAACCAAAGCAAAGCGCAGAACAACAACAAAGACATGTGGGGTTGGTCCTGCGTTGACAATAAGCGACGACATCTCTTCGAGGACGATATCGCCTACGGCCTTGTCTGCCGTCTTCAGGTAAGCACACTCTTCATGGTGGCAACGGAGAATGAATACTAACGCTTCATCAGAACTGGGCTCTCGTTTGCTGCATCATCGAAGTCGTAATCGAAGTTCTAGTCATTGCCATCTACGGCATCGTCTTCTACCGCTTCTGGTCTAAGCGCAAGCTCCGCAAGTCCATGGCCATGCGCGACCGTGCCCGTTCCGATCTCTACCTCGCCCAGCTTCGCTCGCAATCCGCACCCAACACCCCTGGCTTTGGTCCCATGTCTCCCCGCTCCGGCGGCTGGCGCCCACCTCCAGGTCACCCAATGTACGTTGACCCGCACTCTGCCGCTGAGGCTGGCGAGAGCGACAAGGTCCAATACGCCTACGCTCGCGAGATTGCTCAGCCCCAACCATTCACTCTCCAGGCACCGCCTATCAAGGTCACTGGTGCCACACCCAAAATCGAGCAAGATGGCTTCGACTCTGCACCCGCACGGACAGGCACCGTATCCCCACCACTGCCATCTCCAGGCTTCCAAGAAAGGAGGAACGAGCATGTTGCTGCTGCGCCGGGTGAACAGCAGTACGCTGCTGTTCCCATCCCCGGTGCTTACACACCGCTAGCATCGCCCTCATACCCACCTCCACAACAGCAACAACCCACAGGCTTTGACTTTGGCTCTTCAGTGACAGGTCAGCGATAAAGCCGTTGAGTTTGCTGCTTGAACGTGTGTTGTACTGTGGATTTAGCGCGCATCGTCACCTCTCCTTTCTCTTCTCAATCAATCTGGAATCTGGTTGCATGGTTTTCGCACAACGATATCAGGAAATGTACATTCTTCCACCCCTTTGAAGCGAGGCTTCGGCCGGGCTTTGTGTTTTCCTTTGTCTGTCTCTCCGTCTATCGCTAATCGGTGTTTTGGGATTGGGAATGTTTTTAAGATACCTTTGAAGTAAGAATGCCTCCTTACTACGCCTCTCGTTGTATATGACATGAGGGATGGGGGGTTGCTGCAGCAGAATGGAGCAGAATCAGATTTATTGTGATCTTTGAGAATGCCAGATGAAATACAAAGATCTTACCTTTCAAAACTTGAATTCCCGTATGCTTACGTTGTGACTGATTCATGTTGTATCTATACTACTACCATCATCCGCAACACTCGGCGAATTCTTTCGTGGAAAATCGCTGCCAACACGATGCACACAGCGCATGACCATCGAACCACTCTGTCATTCAACCCTAAACACCGCAAAACCACGCCTCACAGTCAACGTCAGCGACTACGCCACGCACACAACCCGAGCGTCTCGCCAAACTACTCCACCGTGACCCACGGCCGCAGGAGAGGTCTACGGGGCGCTCGCAGCCGCCCGGCCTGCTTTGCCGCAGGCACAGCGCGTGAACTGGTAATTGCGTAATCCGGTGGCTGAGCGTGAGATGAAGTGGACTGACGGGAGAAATGAGGGTGGTCATTGATGTAGACGGGAGTATTATGGCTGATATATATGATGGTGCTTGTGTTATTTCGGAAGTTATGTACATGCGCCGGACGAACGGTTTGTGTCTGTCAAAGAACTCAGATGTACAATAACGAGATGTTCATGAGATCGCGTTGAATGTTCAAGTCATAGCCCTTGTATGCGCGCCACTTGCAGGCTTGGGCGACGCCTGGATGTCTCGCGACGTTCTTGGTGGCGGGGATGCTGTACCGCACCTACTGTATATCCACGCGAAGATAAGCAAGTATGACGACATGTTTGGATCGCGCAGTTAGTCCTCAAATCTGCATTACGTGAGATGTGCGTCTAGACGTCTCAACCTTACAGTCATTCACACTTGTCCCGCACAGGCATGTAGATCAAGTGTGATGACATTCGAGTATCTTGGGGTACTAGTCGATCCTGTCATGTCAGTGCAACAACAGAACAGACACATCACATGCGACGACATCGAGCAGAGATGATCATACAATGGTTATGCGGAACATTCACCCAAGTGAAGCCTCCATTGTGTTTGTGATCGTAGACCCGCTCGTTAGAGACGAGGTCGCTCCATTGATAGGCCGCAAGTTCAATGCTTGCTCTTTTGTAAGATACATTCCAGGACTCCGTAGGACCGAACCCCCCGAGACCGAAAATGCTGGTGATCGTGCAAAATCTTCACTTCGTTCCTTTCCCCCAAACCGACGATACGTTTATCGGACGATACCCTCGAATCGGTTCTTGTACCACTTGACGGTCTCCTGTTGGTTGACCTTGTGGGAGGCGCCGATCTTGCTCTGGCACCGCCTGCGCTTGGCGACGCGCTCACCGGGGCGGGTCATGCAGACGTAGAAGTCCATACCGTAGATACTGCTCCAGTCAGCCAATGTCTCCCTCGCTCAGGATCCAGATTCCACATACCCAATGCTGGGGTCGTACTTGATACCCAAGTCGATGTGCTCGCTGATACCGAAACCGAAGTTGCCAGACTCTGAGAAGTTGCGCTTGCGGAGCTCGTACTCCTTGACCTTGAGACCACGCTCGAGGATCTCCTCGGCCTTGGGGCCACGGACGGTGACGTGGACAGCGATCTTTTCGTTCCTTCGGATACCGAAAGTGCGGACGGTGTAGCGGGCCTTGGAGTAGACGGGAGTTTGACCGGACAGCTGCTCGAGCACCTTGGCGGCACGAGTGAGACGATCACCAGACTCGCCGACGGAGATGTTGAGGACGAGCTTCTGGATGCGGAGCTCCCGCATGGGGTTGGAGGCCTTGGAGTCGGACTGTCATGGCTGTTAGTTTGCGCAGAGCAATTGGCGGTCGAGAATCGGTGCGTACCATGGTGATGACTGCGGAGGTTAGTAGTCGATGGGTGGGCTGTCGTGTCGCTGGTGTTGGAGTCGCAATTCTCAAGGCATTTTTGAGCGGAGGTGGCTTAAGCGAGCCAAGCCGCGGCGCACGTGCCAGGCTGCCAGAGCTCCGAACTGCAACTTCTATCGCGAACAGCCAGCAGCTCCATACGCCCCGCCTACCGCCAACACCAAGGGGATACTCTCTCAGAACTTTTACAAACCCTTCCCTGCATTTCAAGTCGTCCTCGGACGCGCATTACCAATCATGTCTGGCGCCGCAAACCGACAGGGAAAGATGGTAAGTAAATCCGCCCAGCAGCTCGAGTCTTTGACCTGAGAGAAGACGCGCATAGAAACTGACTGACGTCTGGTGATATAGCAAAATCTAGTAAGCGCTCCAGAATCCGCTCATAGTCGCATGCAACTTACAAGTTCAGATCAACTACCGCATGAAAGTTACACTCCAAGATGGTAGACAAATGGTCGGGCAGATGCTCGCATTCGACAAGGTCAGTGTCGCGTACCCTTTCTCTGCCTACTCTGCTAACTCCATCTCTGCAGCACATGAACCTCGTTCTCGCCGACACAGAAGAGTTCCGACGCACACGAAGAAGGGGCAAGGCCGCGCCCGGCGCAACCCAGCAGGTCACCGAGACTGAAGAGCGACGCGCAATTGGACTTACCATCATTCGTGGCGCGCACGTAATCTCATTATCTGTCGACGGACCACCGCCTGCCGACCCTGCCGCGCGACTTGGGAACGCTGGAGGATCAACTACTGCTGCGGCGCTGGCTGCGGGACCTGGTGTAGCGCGTCCTGCTGGACGTGGTCTCCCAGTCGGTCTTACTGGCCCAGCTCCTGGTGTTGGAGGTTCCGGTCCTGGTTTCGGAGGTGGCTTCCCAGGCGCACCTGGAGGCTTTGGTGGCCCGCCTGGTTTCCCAGGTCGTGGCGGACCTGGTGGACCACGTACGTTGCCCATGATCATAACTTGAGGAAGTTTGCTAACAAGCCATAGCCGGGTTCCCTCCCGCTGGTGGACCGCCTGGATTCGGAGCACCACCAGGCTTCGGAGGACCGCCCGGTTTCCCAGGTCGCGGTGGGCCTCCTGGTTTCGGTGGCAGGTAGACGCAGGACAACGAACGATCATGATGAAACATCACAGGAAAGATTTGGCATTGGACGATCGAACACGGCGCGTGCCTACATCGCACGTCTCAGGAGATACCTAGGAAAAGGACTAGACACACGTCCGACACATCGTAAGGGAGAAGTATCCCTAAGATGCGATGTGGTAGTGATTGCAAAAAGCACCAAAAGGGCAGCATACCAAGTTCGAGAGTGTACGGAAGTTTAGTTGGAGGGGCATCGAGCATACCACCGGGTTGAATGCAGAACAAGAATCAGTCACGTCAATTTGACCATGAGATTAGCTCCAATGACCCAAGTTTGACGTGCCTATATTGAAAGTCTTCGCCATAGTGAGCGACCATGTCAATTGCTTCATCCCCATCCCACACGACACCGGAGAACAAACAACGTGCAATTCGCCAGCTCTACTCGATCTAGCTCCTTGTGACACAGTCCATCCTATTTATTCCCTCGTATTTCCGGCCAGCATCACCGTGCACGTGATGTCTTTCCCGTTGTCGGAAGGCAGTCTGCGGTTCCCGCACCGTCCCTGTTGTTCGGCCCCCCAATTATCGCTTGGCACCCAACCTGTCCGTCGTGCGTCCGCAACTCGCAAACTGCGACAAACCGACCCACGAGAGCTTCCACGTCAAGCCGCCCACGCAACTCGGTCCTCGGTTTCCTCCCGGTAAATAAGTCAACATGGCCGCCGCGATCAAAGCCCTCAATGCGAAGATTCGCTCAAACAAGTACACGGATTACTTTTGCTCGACTCGTACGTTTACCTCGTTCGTCTCTTCGCGGGATTGCGCATTGCAAGAGCTTGGGAGGAGGGCGCGATGAAGGAAAGATCTGGAGATTTTATAGAGGAGTGATGTGAAAAGGAAGAGAAGAGAGAGTAGTGGGCTAACGCAAAGATAGATTTCTGGGGCCCGGCGAGTAACTTTGGTATCCCGATTGCGGCTATTGCGGACATGAGCAAAGATCCTGAGATGTACGTGCTGCCTCCTCCTCTTCACGACATTACTATGGCCAAACCACCTGAACAATACGCGATGCAACCCGCCCTCTTCCTATCCACACATCCTCGACCTGATTCCACCACACCCCTCCTCATAACATTCAGCTAACCCCACCCTAGCATCTCCGGCCGCATGACCGGCGCCCTCACCCTCTACTCCGGCACATTCATGCGCTACGCCATGGCAGTCACACCAGCCAACTACCTGCTCTTCGGATGCCACGCCATCAACTTCTCCTCGCAACTCGTCCAAGGGTACCGCTACCTCAACTACTGGAACTTCGGCGGCCGGGAAGCCAGCTTGGCAGGAAAAGCGGAACAAGCAAAGGACGGGGCGATGGGTATGGTGGGAAAGGCGGAGCAGAAGCTTGAGAAGGTTGCGGAGGACGTTAAGGGCGTTATTCCGAAATAAAGGAATGGGACGACAGAGTATACCGAGTTGAGAGGGGATGCATGCGTGAGCTTGTGTATGAATGGATATACATACTTTTCGCAAACCTACTATGATACAACTTCTGTTATGCTGGACCAAGATCTACACCACTACTATGTACACATTGATTACATGAGACTGCTCCTCCCTCCAATCTCCGTTCCACCCTGGCCATTCGGCAAATCTCCATCTCGCCCATCAACAAACTCTCTGTAAATCTTCTCGAGACGCATCCGCTCTTGAGCCGAGATACTGCTACGTCCGCTGGAAAGAGACGACTCAATGTGCTTCCATTGGATCTGCGGATCCTTCCTCTCACCCCCGTCTTCTTGTTCTTTAGTCGCCCTGTCCTCGTCTTCTCGCTGCGACGAGCCATCAGAACGCTGGAGCTGCTTCTGCTTCTTGCGTAGAGCTTGTAGAGCCGCGATTTTCTGAGCAATCATGGCGCGCTCGGTGAGTTGGGCGGAAGTGGCTAAGGCAGAGGTAGATGTAGATGAAGGGTCGTCGCCGTAGCGGAAGTAGGAGAAATCTGGGATACCCTTCTCTTTACCGTTGCTACTACCGCTGCTTCCATCTTTCTTGTGATCTATCTTCGAGGGGTCGACGTCTCCGAGCACGTCGTGGATGGCTTCCAGTTGGGCGTTGTATACCACAGCTTGGAGATCGGCGCCGGAGTAGCCTTCTGTTCGCATTGCTATTTCGCGGAGATTCTCGCCTTCCTGTCCGTCGCCTAGGAGGCTGGGTGCGAGGTGTAGTTTGCGTGTTACGGCACGTAGGATGTCGATGCGCTCTTCTACGTCTGGCATATCACATAGCAGTGATTTGTCAAGACGACCGGGGCGGAGGAGCGCAGGATCGATCAGATCGGGGCGCGACGTAGCAGCTAAGACGTAGACACCTGAAAGACCTTCCGCTCCGTCCATCTGGGTGAGAAGTTGGTTGACCACACGATCTGTTACACCCGTTGAGTCGTGTCCACGTTTCGGTGCGATACTGTCGAATTCATCGAAGAACAAAACGCAAGGTCGCGCTGCTTCTGCGCGTTCGAAAAGATCACGGACAGACTTTTCAGAGGCACCAATGTACTTGTTGAGGATTTCAGGTCCTTTGACTGAGATGAAGTTCAGGCCGCACTCGCCTGCTACGGCGGATGCGAGGAGAGTCTTGCCGCAACCTGGGTAGCCGTACAGGAGTAGACCTGATCGGAGACGTAGTGGGCATTTTGCGAAGATGGGTGCGTAGGTTGTAGGGTATTGAAGGGTCTCTAACAGAACTTGTCGTGTTGTATGAAGACCGCCGATGGAATCCCATTTCGTGGTGGAGGATTGAAGAGTGACATTTCGCAGGGAAGCGGGCGTGAAGCCAGAGAGAGCCTGTGTGTAGTCGTCCCGTGTAAGAGAAACAGTAGGGGCGGTTGATGTAACTGAACGAATCAATGCCTCGTTACGGGCACGCGATGTGAGTAGCACAAGATCGCCAGGCATGTAGCCGTCTGTCTGGCCAGCGAGGTCGAGGAAGTCAATGGAGGTGTCGATGGTGAAGGCGTAATCCTCAGAGGGTTGCTGTGGTATGCTATCAGTGCTAGGGTGACTGCGGTGAGCGGTACTGGGTCGACTGGTGGATGGAGATGGCGGGAAAGCATGGCCATTGGGCTCCTTCGACTGCTCTGTTTTGGCGTCCTTGAAAGCAAGCATCTCAAGGACCTTCCTTCTACCGTCTTTGTTGGGCGCTTTGAGACTGACAATCTCGCGGACAATGTGTCCGCCAACGATGACATTGTTCAGCGCCTCTTTGCCTTGCGCAGTTGCTAGCAGGACTACACCAGAGTCCATGGAGCAGTATTGCCTGACGATGTTGATCAGACACTCGCTAACATGCCGACTCCGTCCGTTCTCGTTGCCAACTTGAAGTTCAGTCTCTACAGGGCAAAGCTTGTCCAAGTCGTCAAGAATGACTACTGCATTCCCACCGCCTCTTGCCCCCCATGAGGCAGAAGCGAACAATCTGTTCAGAGTCTCCTTGATAGTCGCGACTCGCGTCTCATCTGTTACAAGTTTGCGGCAGGGGAAATAGATGGTGTTGAATAGATACTCGGTCCGCAGCTGATGGGCGAGCAGTTGAGCGCATTGTGACTTTCCTGCCCCGAGGCCACCTGTGAGTAAGACGGAAGAGTTGTGCGTCAGGTGTGATCGTAGTTGCTGAATGAGAGGGTCTATGCCAACCAGGTTCGCAGGCGTCTGCGGTAGCGGGTCACCTTGCTGCCAGCCCTTGGCCCAGCTTGTTGGCGTTGGCACCTCTTGACCTAGCTCAAGTGGTGGCTTCCTCTCCGGGAAGAGCACCCATGAGACTCCGGCTGTCGATGATGGCGGCTCAAACCTTACAATGCCTCCTTGCCAACCAAGCTCGGAGTCCTTCACAGGAGGCAGGATCATTCCGTCTGTAAGTGGCCCGTCCAGGAGTCCGTTCTTCTTTCCGTATGTTGTCTTGATCTTCTGTATGGCATTTTCCTGGTCCTGCTTGGACTCACCGCCAAACTTCAACGACGCATTGACCTGTGATGCAATGGTAGAAAAGGGGATGATCTTGACAGACTTGACGACAGGTTCCCTTGATTCTTTCGTACCTTGCGGTTTCATGGCCGGCGGCTTGGGCGTTTGAGCTGGGGCACCTTCGATCCGGACAAGACCGCCCACAAAGTTCTCGAAGCCCAGAACTCTGCAGAGATCGGTTGAAAGCGCCACATGTCGACTATCCGGCGCGTCCTCCCATGCTATGATCTTGGCGACCACGCGCGTTGCGGGCTTCTCCTGCTCCTGCTCTTTGGACATGTCCACGGGCTCCTGTAGCCCGGCGGGCTTGATGATTGACACGGAGACCCAGTTGGCGCCTCTGAGAGCCTTGGTGAGGAGTACGTCCTTGTCTACCCATACCTTCAGGCCGTCGGCGTCTGCGTCCTCTTCCTCGTCGAACCACTCTTGGGCGACACTGCGATCAACTCCACGCAGGAAGATGACGCCTTTGCTCGCGGCATCCTCGCGACCGCTGCGCCGCCGGACTGTGCTTGCCGTGCTCTTTCCGCTCTTCCTCGACGCAGCACCTACACTTCTGCTTTCGCGCGTCGAGCTCCTTTCCTTTTGCCGTGTCTTGGGCGCAACGATGACCTCGGCGTCGGGCGAGATCTTGACGAAGAGTGAGGGGTTGGGCGGTGCGGGCGCGATGGAGGTGACGGTGATGTTCGCCGTGGTCGTGGGAGACAGGTGCAGCGTGAGAGGATGCGGCGACTGGGCCTGGGGGTTCGGGAGCGCGCGTATCTGAGAGAGGAAGTTCAACTCCAAGAACTGGGCGTGCAGCTCTATCATCTCCCAATCAACAGGGGTCAATGGCTCGATGTTGATGGTATGCGCCTGTGGAGGATCCAGATGCAGCAGTATGCCCACCTTCTGGCCCTCTTGGAGCCCGATCAACCTGGCGAAGGTGGCATCCACCTCGACTGCTGGCAGGTCCTGTTGGCTGACTGCCGGGCTGCCTCTCAGGCCATCTCGTCCGACGACAGGCGCGATGCGGCGCTTGCTCTGCATGCCCGTCCATCCTACAAAGACCGACTTGGGCGCGGCATTCCTGTTGTCCGACGCACCCGGTGGGGGAGGCTGGCGGTACGTGAGCTCGACGACGACATTCTGGGCGACGGTGTTGGCGTTGACGAGCACGGAGACGAGCGAGGACGGGAGGTTGACCAGGCAATTCTTCAACGACTGCTGCAGGGCAACTTCGGCCTGGACAGCATTGCCGGCGGGCTTCTTGGGCGGCATGGCGGCGAGGGTGGAGGAGTGAATGGCGGTGCTGCTGTCGGTGTCGCAGGCCGCCTACCTCGAGCTCTCCACGCGGGCCGAGGTCGAGGTGCAGGGCGGCGGCGGTGCCCCAAAGCGGTGCTAGTCGCCGGGCGTGGGAACGCGGGTCGACGCGCCTCAGAGCTGCAACGCGACCAGCCCCAATTTTGCTACCGCGCATCCCTCCCCGCTGCATCAACCCTCGACGACGACCCCGACCCCGACACCAGCCCCAGACACCATGGCGCTCCTTACCACGAGTGCGCCCGTCAACTACGACGAGCAGGAGGGTGTGTGTGCACGCGCAAAACACTGAAACCCCCAGCTAACACCCGCCAGCCGCCTTTGTTGACTTCCTCAAAAACTACAAATCAGCCTCGACCGACGCGGCCGACCAGCTCCAGGGCCTGAACATCAGCGGCAATGGCGACGAGGAGTACGACATGGTGGACGACTCGGACGACCCTGCGCCCAACGGAGCCCAGTCCCGCGCCAAGTCGAAGCTCAAGTACATGGACCAACTCCAAGACGTAGCGAACCGCGTGCGCGACGAGATCCAGATAGACCTCAACGACGTGGAGGCCTACGAGAAGGCGACCTCAGACGACGAGCACAACTACCGGCTGGTCGAGTCCATCGAGCGCAATGCACACCACTACATCGAGATCTTCTCGCGCGCAGTCGACAAGTGCCTGCCCGCACCCACCAGAGAACTAGAGTACGGCCCCGTGACATCCTGCTCAGGCAGAGACTAACAGCACCAGTTTCAAAGATGATGTCCTAGACGTGATCATGACGCAGCGCTCGAAGCGCAACGAAAGACAGCAGGAGATGCAGGGAGTCGACGACAGCGCACAGGCTGCGCCCGAGACCATGTTTCCTCCTGCCTTGACGAGACGATACACGCTCAACTTCAGGCCCAGGATACCGTCTGGTTCCAGCAGCCAGCGCAGCATGAAGGCGCTGGCTGTCCGCAACGTGCGAGGAGAGCACCTGGGCCATCTCATCACAGTCCGTGGTATTGCAACCAGAGTGTCGGACGTCAAGCCTGCTGTGCAGGTCAACGCCTACTCTTGCGATCGCTGCGGAAGTGAAGTTTTCCAGCCCGTGACCACCAAGCAGTTCACCCCGCTCGTCGAGTGCCCGTCCGACGACTGCAAGAGCAACAAGACCAAGGGCCAGCTCTTCCTTTCTACGCGCGCCTCCAAGTTCCTGCCTTTCCAAGAAGTCAAGATTCAGGAGATGGCGGACCAAGTACCCGTGGGTCATATTCCCCGGCAATTAACCATCCACTGCCACGGCGCGCTTGTCAGGCAGATCAACCCCGGAGATGTCATCGATTGTGCTGGTATCTTCCTCCCCACGCCCTACACTGGATTCAAGGCCATCCGGGCTGGTCTCCTTACCGACACATACCTCGAAGCACAATATGTCATGCAGCACAAGAAGGCCTACGACGACATCGTGCTTGCTCAACCAACTCTCCGACGGATGAACGAGCTTGAGAGGACTGGTCAGCTGTACGAGTACCTATCGCGATCCATTGCACCTGAGATTTTCGGTCACGTCGATGTCAAGAAAGCTCTTCTGCTCCAGCTCATTGGTGGTGTCACAAAGGAGGTCGGCGACGGCATGCGCATCCGTGGTGACATCAACGTCTGCTTGATGGGTGACCCCGGTGTGGCCAAATCCCAATTGCTCAAGTACATTACCAAAGTAGCACCTCGTGGTGTCTACACTACTGGTCGTGGTAGCAGTGGTGTTGGTCTCACCGCCGCTGTCATGCGCGACCCCGTCACTGATGAAATGGTGCTTGAAGGAGGCGCCCTCGTCTTGGCTGACAACGGCATGTGCTGTATTGATGAATTTGACAAGATGGACGACAGCGACCGAACGGCGATCCACGAGGTCATGGAACAGCAAACCATCTCCATCAGCAAGGCTGGTATTACAACCACTCTGAATGCCCGCACATCAATCCTCGCAGCCGCTAACCCATTGTACGGCCGCTATAACCCTCGTCTCTCGCCGATTGAGAACATCAACCTTCCTGCTGCGCTTCTCTCACGTTTCGACGTCCTGTTCCTCATCCTTGATACCCCTGCGCGAGACTCTGATGAAGAGCTGGCACGCCACGTCACCCACGTGCACATGCATAACGCTCACCCTGAAGCCCCTGGCGGCATCATCTTCAGCCCGGCCGAAGTACGACAATGGGTTGCTCGCGCGCGATCATACCGACCAACTGTGCCAAAGGAGGTTTCGGATTACATGGTTGGTGCCTATGTGCGCATGCGTCAACAGCAAAAGCGCGACGACGGTAACAAGAAGGCCTTTACCCACACCTCGCCGCGTACACTGCTTGGTGTACTCCGTCTTGCACAGGCTCTGGCGCGTCTGCGGTTCGCCGAACAAGTCATCTCGGAAGATGTAGACGAAGCTCTCCGCCTTACCGAAGTCAGCAAGGCCAGTTTGTACGCCGATGAGAACCGTGGGATTGATCACACTCCAAGCAGTAAAATCTACCACCTCATCAAGTCCATGGAGGCGAGCGGTGCTGCTGCTGTCGGTGATGGCACCAGGGGTGAACTCGATCTTCGCAGAGTTAGGGAAAGAGTCCTGGCCAAGGGCTTCACAGCCGATCAGTTCGAGCAGGCTATTGACGAGTACTCCATGCTTGACGTAAGTACCATCGCCCCAACGTTTGAGTTTATGCACGATGCTAACGCTTTTTGACAGGTCTGGCAAACAACCGGAGAGGGCACAAGGCTTGTGTTCATCGAGGCTGGTCTGGAAGATGAGGATATGGATGCCGATAACGACTTCTAAAGCATGGGAGGGAAGCGGTGGCAGAGGATGTAGATGTATCTGGTTACGGCGTACCAAGGCGTTGGATATCCGAACGACGCTTAGCGCGCGTCTATTTTGCTTGCAGCAGCTTCGCATAGAAATTCCAATGAAGCAACGATGTACAAATTCGTCTTCCACGGCCGCCCACCGAATGTCGCGTGAGGGCGTGGGTGGCTGTCACATGCCAAGGCAGCCGTCTGCAGGCAAGCATCGTCGGTGCGTGGTGAACCCTCGCGGGGTCGCTTCCGAAAAGTGGGAGAGCTCTGTTTCACTGTGCATTCTCTCACAACCACTCGCAGTTCCTTTGATTACCCATGTGGTGAGAATTCGCTTCGAGTCTCGTCCACGGTCTTACCTTCTTAAAGAGGTTACCTCCAACTGCGAATCTCGCGACGCGGCAGAAACCAGCCAGATAAGCTTGCGCCCGCTCTCCTCTCCTCTCACTGTGATTTCTCGATCAACCGCAAACCCCAGACGAGTTCGCGCTCCCCAGAATTCTTCACAATGGCTCCAGGCGCAGCAAACAACTTTGCGCAATTCATGGTGGTAGGACGTAAGTGCACCCCTCCATGCTGCCTCCGCCCACATCCACAACACTTGATTGCGCTCCCATTGCACCTGCTGACGAACCCGCAGCAACATGTTTTTTCCTCGGCATCATGTTTGCGCAACTCCCATACGACTACAATGTACTATGGACCATGCCCGCCGACCGATCAGCCTACTTCGACATCCTTGAATCGCACATCAAGTTCCTCTATGCCTCGCCTCCCATCGTATCGCGCATCCTCAACCTAGCCATCGGCACCGGCCTCCTCGGCTTCCTCATCAAGCTCTTCAAGCCCAACCAAGCCAACATGCTCTTCGATGGCGCATCGCTTGTACTCTACATGGCTGGTATCACCGTCTACCTGACCAACATCGTCAAGGGGTTCAGGGTCGTGACAGCGGGTATCTACGGTGACGTGAACAAGGCGGCGCCGGGTGAGATCACGGACGAAGATATGGGAGACTACATCTCGAGGGAGGACACGTTGAGGGTTTTTGCGGCTAGTAATACAATCCTGGCGCTGGTGCTCGTGGGTGTGCTGGTACTGCAGGCCGGGCAGTGGTACGCCAAGAGGGCTGAGGAGAAGGAGATCGAGGAGTTTGAACGCAAGGCTGCGGAGGCCAAGGGCGCTGGGAAGAAGAAGCAGTAGAAAACAAACTCGCTGCTCATGAGTGGGCTTTGGGGTAGCGCTTTCGCATCTCAAGGAACTCAATTTGGGTCAAGTAGGCTCTCAGCTTTTCTTCTCTTCTGTCATGTGTAGTTATCAAGAGTTGGGATCGGTTCGTGGTATACGAAACGAGTTGTGTAGGAACAATTGGGTACATAACATTCTTCGTGAGATGCACTTGTTCATGACTTAATATCTTTCAGGTTCCTCTATGTGCTTAGTATCAACCGCTATTCCCTTGATACATACGAATCCTGCCTGTCTCCACGATCGATTCAATCCTACCATCTGAACTCACCTCAGAAAGCGTCAGCGGTGTATATTCGGTTTGGTAGCGCTTTCCTGTTTGGCACAACTTAACAACAATAACAACTCTCACCTGCCTGACCTCTCTTTCTCCCCTGCCAACCTCATCTACATCCTTCACAACGACTGGCACCTCTTGTTTCGACATACCGCGACATTTCAGCTTGATTGGGGATATGTTGACCGATGGCTAGTGCTACTCACTTCACCGATTGACAGATACGCACACGGTCGCACCTTCTCACCGCTCACGGGAGGACTTACGCCGAGCAAGCAAGAGGTAGTTGCGGCCATTGAACTTCATGAATTCTTCATCTACGTTACGTCAGGGGAAAGCATTACCAACCATGTCGCGGCACCAGGCAGCTTCCGCTCGCGGACGCAAACAGACCGGGACCAGGACCAGGATGGAACACCGAGATCGAGCTGCTGCGGCCTCAACAAACGGTCTGCTCAACCGCCAATTCGCCAGCATTACGGACGTGCTCGTCAAAGCAAGTCAGCGTCGCAACGCTGAACTACAAGAGCTACAGCAGAGGCGTTCGAGGCCAGTACCCATCCCATCAACACCAAAAGCTGCACCAGAGCTTCCTGTCACCCCCGAGCCTGAGCTATCACAGGGCAGCGATTCTTGTGACGATCGTCCCGAGCTTGAACAAGCTTACAAAAGTGACAAGAACACTGCGAGTGACGAGCCAATGGCGGCTGCTTCTGTTGAAGGATCATCAGGTAAGCATTTAGGCATCAACTAATCGCTCAACTCAGCCCGACTAACCAACAAATAGACATGCAACAGACACAGGTTCACCTGCGCGGCGGCTACTTATCGGACCGTGCCGAGAATCCCAAGATGATGCTCGCGGAGCTCGATTCGTCGCTGCGACAGCGTTCAGACATTGGTAATAAGGAGAAGCTTGATGGTGACTATGATCTATCACGAATGCTGGCAGATATGAAGCGGGATCTGTTCTCGTCAAAGGATACTGTGGTTGTACGCGACAACAGTCTGAAGGCCACGGGCGCAGACCTCAGTTTGAACAAGGAAGACGAATTGTCAGCTTTGGCCGAGCGTCTAGGCGTCGACATTGGCGAAGACGATATCATGGAGAACAAGGAAGCCATGCCTGCCGAATCAGGTGAAGAGAAGCAAATCCCTGACACAGACTGTTCCAATGATGAAGACGATAATCTCGAGACTCTCCGCGCGAGGATGAACGCTATGTTCTCTCCACCCTCCAACATGACCCCCGACAGCTCTCGCAGAACCGCCCAGGCCGTATCTGTTGTCGACAAGACACTAGCCTCTCCACAAGACACAACTGCGATACTCGAGCCGAAAGGCATACAACGTCCAGATATGAATGAGTCTGAGGCCAAGAAAGAGAGGGAAGACATGGTGAAGAGGGAGAACGAGAAGCTTGACGCCACCATCAAGTACGTCCTGGAAGAGGAAGAGAAATATCACGCGATCGAGGAGAAGAAAATTCTACCAAACCGTTTGATCGTCACCAATCTCGCTGCTAGCGTAGACGAGGAAGCCATCCGCATACTCTTTATCGAGTACAGATGGGACATGTAAGTCATACACTATACACGTCAGTGAATGCATGCGCTAACTAGAGTTCGCTAGTCGCAACATCACCATCCTTCCCGAACGCGAGCCGGTCAAGAGGACTAGAACGGCATATATCGACATAGACAGCAGGAAGGAGGCGATTCGTGCGTCTTATGAGGTGGGAAGCATCTACGGATTGATTGTGAAGATCAAGTTGGCGGTGGAGTAGAGAGGGATGAAGGCTAACATGCTTGTATGTGGACTACGAGATATCGGGCAATAGTGTATTGTATCTGTGAAAATACTTTTTGAGTAACTACTTAACAAGGAATACTCATCCGGTCTGTATCAAGCAGTACCTTTTCCATGAAAGCGTGTAGCCTCAGACTCCCTTGTCGCTCGCCAGTGCCTTCTCCAGCTCACGATCAGCGCTTAACTCCTTCTCAGCTCCCTCAATCACACCCCTCAGTCCTTTGGCACAGGCCTCCAACTGCGCCTTCTCCACCTCGTCAAGCTGAACTGGCATGGCTTTGATGATACCCTTTCGACCAACTACTGCTGGCATTGACAAGCAGCAGCCCAGCTCAGGCTGGTAGAAGGACAAGGGCCGAACGGATCGTGAGTCGAATAATATATACTTGCAGATACCAGCCGCGATGTTTCCGATGCCGTAGCTTGTGCAACCCTTCGCCGCGATGATCGCGCCAGCTGCTCCACGAGTATGAGCCGATATTTGGTCCTTGAACTCCTGAGACATCGTGTCTGGCGGAAGAGCAAGAGCAAGTGGTGTTGTGCCGATAGTAGCGCTGGACCACGCAATCTGTATCTTGTATCAGCATGCCTATCTCTCCTGTCTCGTCACCCTCTCCTCTCGCCGCAAAGCAACCAGAGAAACTGTACTCACAAACTGACTATCCCCATGCTCCCCCAACACATAAGCATCAATACTACTCGGCGCCACCCCCGCCCTCTCACTCAGCACGCCCCTCAACCTCGCAGAATCCAAACTCGTCCCCGTCCCCAACACCTGACTCTCGGGCAAACCCGACAACCGCCTCGCAAAATACGTCAGGATATCCACTGGATTCGCCACAAGCAGTAAGATCGTGTGCGGACTGATCGGCGCCATGGCACTGAATATGCTCTCTAGAATGTGCAGGTTACGGGATAAGAGGGATAAGCGTGATTCTCCTGGCTTCTGCTTTGCGCCGGCGGTTATGACGACGATGTCTGCTCGGCCGGCGTCGGCGTGCGTTCCGGCGCGCACGCGGACAGAGGTGCCGCCGCGGTAGGTGGCGTCGTTTAGATCGCGGACTTGGGCTTCCAGGAGCGTGGTTTTGGGGTCTACGAGGATTACCTCTGAGCAGATGGGTTGTAGGATGAGGGTGTAGGCTAGGGTGGAGCCGACGTCGCCGCAGCCGAGGATGGCGATTGTGGTTTTTAGTTTGGGGGATGTCATTGCGTTGTTATGGTATGTTGGTTCTTGTGTTTGTGTGAGTAGGTAGTTGCACTGTCGAGGTGTTTGTGTGGTAGAAGAAGTTAGGTGGTGAGAGGCGCGGAATCTGAGTGAGTTGTAGGACTAATAGTGAGGGGCTGTGGAGATTCCATCGCTTGAGGATATATATATACTCTACTCATCCATGTGTCTTGGAAGTCGCATGTTGTGTTACGTTGCCAAGGCCTGGGCTGCTGAGAAGTGGTGTGATCTGGGGTGGAGCTCAGCCACTCACCACCCGCCTCATCGCGCAAACACGTGTTGGCAGCATCATACTAACAATGCTTTCACGGGCCGTTTTCGTGTCATATCTTACTGTGCCCAAAATCGGATGCATACCCCCCGACGTATATACTATCTTTTGTACTCAGAACAGTTCAGTTTCAAGGTCGGCGGTCAGGAGCTCCAGGTCCAACCTCCTTCGCAGTGGTGAAGGCAGACGTGTACATATTAAGCCCACTGTTCATGCAGCTCATCCTCCAGGGGCAGCATCGTCTTTTGCAGTTCCTTCGACACCTTGTCAGCCTCCTCCCAGACACGAAGAAGGTTCCGTCCTGCGATCTTTGCAGCATCTTCATCGCTTATGCCCTGCCTCAGCAATTCGGCGATAAGGTCAGGGAACTTAGATACGTCCTCTAACCCCTCAGGAGTGGTCTCAATGCCATCATAATCTGTGCCAATACCAACGTGATCATACCCAATTAACTCTCCAATGTGTCTAATATGACGTACGACGTGCGCTAGGGTGTTGTTCTCTGGGACGAAATCTGGGAAGGAATTTGGTGTTTTCGAAGCCTTGCAGGATACAAAGTCTGGATTAAAGTTGACCATGACGACAGAATTGCGCTGCTTGACGAGCTGAAGTATATCGTCGGGAACGTTTCGCGGATGCGGGCAGATTGCGTATGCGGAGCTGTGGCTGAAGATTGGTGGCGCGATACTGCCGTTCCAGTTTCCGTCACCTCGACCGATGAGTACGTCGCGCATGGTGTCTTGACTCACGTGCGCTAGATCTACTAGCATTCCTAGGCGGTTCATCTCCTTGACGAGGTCGCGACCTGCGGGACTGAGACCTTTCCAATAGGGTTTCGCAATGCGCGCGCTCCAGTCGGATCCCGTCTCGATTGCTGCATCGGCATACTTGTTGTGGCAGTTCCATGTCAGAGTCGCGTATCTGACTCCAAGCTGGTAGTAAAGTCGCAGAGTAGAGACCGAGTTGCCGATTTGGTGCAACCCTTCGATAGCTGCTGGAGCAATGAAACCACCGTTTTCAAATGTCTTGATGGCTTCCGCGCTGTTCCGGGATGGAGTGAAGTATTTTGGGTACTGTTGCCCTAGGCGGTTGAATAGATCTAGCTGGCCGAGAGTTGCTTTCACGACTGCATACATTAGTATTGATCCAATGCTCTGTCGAGTTAGATTGCCTTACTATTGTGATATCTTTCGTCAGCAAAGTTCGTCTCGTCGCCTAATGGACAGAGCCAGAAGGCACTCCAGAAGGCACCACCTTGATGTCCCTTTTCGAGGCGAGGGATATCCACATGCTGCGCTAGTCCGCCGTTCTCGAACTTGTCTGCGAAATCGCTACCGGATTCATTGTAAATATGGTTGTTGTATTTGCCCCGGATGAAGATCATGAGATCGTTATGGCCATCTCTTGGGTAGTCAGCATGTGGCCCTGCGTTTCACGTCCGTACGGCTGACCAATGAGTGGATTTTCTTGCAGTATCTTGACCGCTCTCTCTTCAACTGTCAATAGCTTTCCACATGTGTGCTTGTGGCCTGGAAACAACGTTCGGATCTCTGTGAACCAAATGGTCGACGCGATAAGGAAGAGGACTACGAGGAAGATAACGTCATCAAACTTGCACAGGCGCCGTCTCGAGGACCGGCGCTGGATTGGCGCAAGCTTTTGGCTGGTAGGGAGGTCGCCCGCCTTCTCCATTTCCAGTTTCAAAATAGGAGATGCAGGTGAAAAGAAACATGGTGCCAGGTTGAGCTGTTGTCATCCAGGTAGATCGGTCTTGGCAGGAGGGCGCGGACGGTTTAGGCGTTTGGTCCGAAACACCACGCGACGCGAACCTCAGAAACATTACGGCCACGAACACCTCAACCTCACATCTGCCATTTTCTCCCTCGCAGCCCATAGTCCACAAGTATGGCGATAATATCAGCAAACACCATGATACGCAGTATCGCACTGTTTCACCTCACACTTGCAGTCGTCCTGCTGCGGAATCCCGCCCTGATATCGAACCAAAGCGTCATTCTCCTGCTAGGAGAGTCAATGCAGCTTGTACGTACTGCAATACTTCTGCTGATTACTGAAGTCTTGTCTGAAGTCACTAACACACCTCAGCCAACACCCCGCGACTTCAACAAGCCCTCGGCCGCAACAGCTTTCGTAGCCATCCTCTTCGCCTTCATCGGCTTCTCCGACCTGACGGCCCTCTCCCTACACGAAGACGTTTTCGACCAATTCTGGGGTCTCCAAGCACCCATGCGCCTCCTCTTCCTTTTCGGCCTCACCTCATACTGCTACGTCTTCAAAGAAGGTGGCATGTTCGCACCCAGGGGCATGGACTTCAGAATGCACGCTGGCGCTAGTCTGAACAACAGCTTCATTTTCACTTGGGGCTTCATGGAGGTTTCGGCGTGGTTCTGGGTGTTTACCACGTTGAGGGAAGAGAGGACGGAGAGGGCGAAGAAGGTTGCCGAGAAGGAGGCTCGGGAGAAGGATACACTGTGAGGCAGCTTTGAAGAGTCAGGATACGTTTCAGAGATGCTTGAATTTGGATGGCAGGCAACTGATTCGCTTGCAGAGTTCAAAGTCCTGTGCGGTGGTACAGATTAGGGGGACTGAAACTGCCATACCACGCCTCTGAAGCCGGCAGTGATCAACCCCGTCGGCAGAGAACAACACCTCCCTACACACAAGACGAGAGCACAGCGATGGATGCTCAGCAGAAGACAGCATGCCAATTTACAGGTCAGAAACACAACTGAGCTAGTCTGCCTACTGTCAGTGGGTGCCCGCACCGAGGACAGCATACGGACATGCGAACTTGTTGCTTCGTCAGTTGTGCTTCGATTCCATCATAGCCAATTCTGGATCATCGAATGCGTGTTCGGTCAGATATGTCGCCCAACGAAATGAAAGCCCGTCTGAATCATCGATGCTGCCATTCCCAGCTGGTCCTGCGACGTGACTGGACCGGGAAGCCCTTCCTCCAGACCCCAATGCATGCATGACAGGGATTAAAGCGTCCTGCAAGGCGAGTGCACCAGTTCAACACTACTGGAAAGCGAAGCAACCCGTGCGGAAGAACTGGATTGAGCCTATCTAATACGTGTAGCAGAGCGTCCCTCCTTCTGTATTTAACAGGTCCTTGAGCGTGGCATTCCCTGCTAACAAGCCAATATTAATGGTAAAGTCCAAAGTAACGTTCTTGCCGCTGTAATCAAAAGGCGTAATAGGCCCACCGACTTGATTGAGACGCGTCTCGAGATCTTTCTGTTGCCATTCCCAAAAGATGCGGTCAATGTTGCCATGATGGAGGTAGAAGAGTGGGTCTGCCATGTGTCAGCATTTTTCCTAGTGGTATGTCTATGTGGCAGATGGGTATTGTCAGAAAGAATGAGAACCAGGCACTCACCACCAGGGCTCTCCGCCGCGTTTCCCATGGTACCCAGAATGCCACCGATACCAAAGTGGCCACTGGCATGAATGTTGGGAGGATCAAAGCTTCGCTGCTTCTCAACTGTCCTTGCAATACTCGTGTAATCCGGTTGTGCCAGGACTTCGTCGACCAGTCGTTTGTCTGCCATTCGATTGACGATCCACGGAACAAAGTCTCGTTTCAAGCAGTGTGGAGTGGGCACGTTCACTGTGAAGTGGGGAGGCGCGAATGGCCCGTTCATTACACATCCTCCACCGGTGTTGCCTGTAATGTTCAAGGGATTTTGGGCAGGAGTAGCTGCGACGGGATAGCCGTTGCCACCAAAACCTGTGTCTGGATTGAAGATTTCTGAATCAAACGGACGGGTGGATGATTCGTTATGCGGTTCGGCATCTAGAGACCAATCCCAGTATCTGCACATTGGTCAGATTGAAAGCTATTGATGTCATGAGGATACGTTTGAAATGGGTAGCAACTTACGGTTGGCCTCCAGTATATCCGCATTCATCCCTCAGTGCCTTTTCGTAGGTTGCCGTGAAGTAACGGTGCCATAGAAGGAAGTGACCCTGAAAGTATCAGCGCGCAAGATCGAACCTGGGCCAATAGGGCTCAACGTACAACCCAATGGATCTGAGGCTTCTGGAGCATGTGAACAGCTTGATGATCATCGAATCGGTTTACGGCTCCTTCAATGCCGGATTTGGCCTTTGTATGTGACAAACACAGAACGGCATCGATGTAGGATTTCTTCTGTGGTTCTGACAATTGTCTCCTATAACTGAAGCATCAGTAACGTATTCGGCATCGTACAGCTTTTGATGATCTTACCATTCCACCCTCTTGGGTGGATTTTTGCACGAACCCAAATCACTAGTCGCAGGTAACGCTGCAGCTGCAGACCATTGTGTCAAGCTTAACCCGACAGGGAGGAGTTCGAGAAGACGCATGACGATCGAGCCGAAGATCCAATGCTGAAACGTAAATGACGGGAGGAACTGTCACACGTGCGATGCCTTCGAAAACAGAAACGTTCTGCAGGATCTACAGTGCCTAGGTACCGAAGAGCTCTCTCGTACACCTACAGCGAAGTAGGCACCTGAATAGCTGATGAAGGTTGACGATTAACAACATCCATCTATCTTATACAAAGGCTCCGCGATCTGGCTGTCGGCAGCCGATCTGGAATTGCGCAACCAGATCGCCTAAAGTCTTTTTGGACCTTTCTCCCGCGGTTGCATGGGAGACATTGTTGAGTATGGCAGGGACAACTGCCGATGATCCATACCTGATGCAGGCGAGACTGAACCTAGGAACCCATAACATCGGTGTACTCTTTACCTGGAAGACGCGCAGGCGCAATATCTGAACCGTTCTGCTAAGTTTGATCTTACAATGCGCAGCCTTGGCTTTACCAGGCGTAATCTCGTAGCCCGTTGCTTGGGTACGTGTAAATTGTTGCTGACACATTTGCCTTGGCTAGCTACCTGGGTTTACATACAGTAAGACAATTCCATGCGATGCACGCCATCTACGGGTACTTGTATCCTGCGCTGGGGTCCTGTTACTGGCTTTGCCCATCTGGAGGACCCCGGCGTACGGGGCGAGTGGCCCGCAAAGCCCGGGAGACATCCGGAGGCTCATTCGAACCTGGCTTGCCACCTCCGTAGTCAGAGAGGTTGTGTGTGGTAGATCGTTACGGAGTGTCCGGCATAGATGCGCTTACAGGGATGGTGAGATTGCGCAGCCGCAGCGTGTTGCCAGGGTTTTTCGGTACTGTTTCTTGATCCGTGTCAGGACGGACATCACGCAGCGTGATCTTCCGACCACGCGAAGGATGCAAGGACGCCGCTCTCTCTTCTTTCAGCGTTGCGCGCCTGAACTCCGACACACGGGCATGAATCGAGTTCTTCTCACTGTTTCCCCGGTGGCTAAATCATCAGTTTTGGTGGATGGCCGCCCTGACGCAACAGTACTGGAGCATCACCGTTTCTGGTCGGCCACAAGCCATTTAGTGATGCTTGCATCGGACTTTGACATACATATGTATAGTGAAGGATTCCGTCTATGCGTTCGACGGAGCACGTTTTAGCTCTCGAATATACTCAGGTACATGCCATCTGCCTTGCATTACAACGGCCATTCCTGCCCTACTGTATGTAGGCCATTGCCCAGGTATGATCGGGCCGAATCTTAGTGCAGATCATGAATCTAGGCAGCCGATGTTCCTGATTACGACTGGAGTTCTAGTCCTGCTATCAACAATTGCCGTAGCTCTGAGGCGAGTACCTGCAGCATTGGCGACATCCTTGGGTAGTAAGACACCGTTTGCTAACACCTACGCAGGCTTTACTGTCGCATCTTTCGCATCCGCAATGTTGGACTCGACGACTACTTCATGGTTGCAGCCCTTCTTGTCACGATTGGCATGGCGATTATGAATGGGTTTCATATCAGCTGGGGCACTGGGTATGGTTCGATGGTTGCAAGCGTATGTGCGTCGCTGACTACGACAGACAACATTTGAAGTACTTGGATGTGCCCTCTATGCGGATTCCCACACTCAAGCATTTCTATTTCTACCAATTAGTGTATCCTGTGGCACTGTTCTTTGTCAAGGCTAGTATATTGGCGTTGTACCATCGTATCTTTGAGCGGTTACAATTCCGGTACAAAGTGTGGTCTGTAGCTGCATTTGTCACGATCTACACAATTGTGGTTGTCTTCGTCAGTGTGAGTTCGTTACTCTGCTTCATCTGGAAATAATACTAATTCCTACAGGCTTTCGAGTGTAGACCCAAGCCATCACAAGCATGGTCACCTACGTTCCCAAAGGGATGCAACAATTTGCGAGCTACCTACTTGGCACTTGGAGGCATCAATATCCTTACTGATATCACAATCTTTCTACTACCCTTTAAACCCTTTTGGAAGCTACAGCTAGATTCGAAGCGGCGATTTGCGCTCTTTGGCGTCTTCGGGGTTGGAGGCATCGCCGTCGTTGCGTCAATAGTAAGGGTTTATGCACTATGGCTGTACAATGTCACCAGAGATATATCGTACGATTCGATATTTGTGAGTAGCTTCCAATGTGGCCCTGCTCGTCGAGATGCTGACCGTAACTCAGATTCTTCTTCTATCACAGATCGAAGTAAACGTCGCTATCATCTCCGCCTCGGTTCCAGCCTTACGGCCACTTCTCTGCAACACTTCTCTAGACTTTAGTCAGCCGGAAGCGTATGGTAGCGGCTATCGACGTACAGTCAGCAGTGGATCTACCATCAATGGCCGAAGTGATCGCAATCTGATCGAGTCTAGCGGTCAAATTTCGCTTCTCTCGATGGAGAGGTGTAGGCCGGTGATAGAACGGAAAACCTCATGCGGAAGAGGAGTGGATGGAACGAGCGAGGATTCGGATCAAAAGGACGATGGTATCACGAGGACAACGGAGACAACGATAGAATTTGAGCAGTTGCCTACCGACACCCTCCCACCCAGCAGGCGTTGGATGACTACAAGGCATTTGAATGGTACACGGTAGAAAAATGACATGTGACGCACTACACAGTATAACGAATTTGACTTGTAGGATCATGGGAACGTTCACTATCAACCAATTGACCACTCGTCTAAGCTTCAGACTTGACTTGAAGACCTCTTCCCACATTACACGCGCCAGAAAGATCGCATCAAGCAACGAGGCAAAGTGACGCATCCTAAAACCACAATCGCTCTGTGTTCTGAACTTCCGCATAACAAAGACTCATTATTCCACGCCACAGCTCCCTCGTGGTACCATGCTCAAAGAAGAAGCATCAGCATGCCGGGAGCTAGTCCAAGAGCCCCGATCGTAAATAAGAACATCTCCCCAAAGCCTGAGGCACTTCCAACGCGAAGGTTGGCAGCAGCGCCGGAAAATTCTGCTGGAGTGGAGGTACTAGGCGATGCACTAATGGTAGTTGATGTAGCGGCTTCCGAGGAAGTTGCATCTTCTGAAGATGTGGTCGCCCTTGATGATGACGAGGCAATCCTAGACGTTGATGCAGGGGCCAAAGTCGAACTCGGTAGTGGTGTTGCCTCAACCGTAGGCGTCTCTGACTGTGTCTCTAGAGCAACGCTGATCGAGGCACTGATAGATTCGGCCGCAGAATTGGCGGCGCCCACATCCGATGCTGTCAGCGAGAAGGTGGTGTAGTACGTCGTTTCCGTGGATGTGATCTCGTAGGTAGCCTCGAAGTAATAGTAGTAGTAATAGGTATAGTAGTATGTCAAAGAGTAGGTGTACCACGAGTAGTCGACAACAACAGGATCTGGGATTGAGGTTGCGGATGGTGCTGGTGTAATGGAAGCAGAGGGTGGATCGCTTTGGTCAATGCGAGGAACTTCAGAGTATCCGTCAGGGCAGGTCTCGCCGGGTAGATGATAGTAGTCGCCTGTGCAGCATGTACCAGTAGGTGGGATGCATGGGAGATCGCCTGATAGTATTAGTCTCGGGTATGGCTCAATTGGAAAGGGTATTCACCAGGGCATACTGGAATCCATCCAGGTGAGTTGCACTCTTGAAGCTGACGAGGAGAAACGCCAGGCGCTTCCTTGAGAGGTCCCGCTTTGCCAGCGAATACGGAGTACGAGAAAGCGCTCAACAGCACTAGCGAATGAATGAGCATGATTGCTAATAAGAAACCGACTCTTTATGCAAACAAGAAATGATGATGATGATGAGTGAGATGGCTGTTGAGGTCCGCTGGTGAAACAACAGAATAGCCCTCTCAGCCTTCAGCAACCCCAGACTTTATACCACCATGCCGCCAAAAGAGCAGTAAACATAGCCTACCTGACAGCCTGCCTGGCAGCCTTCCGTGATCGCAGATGTCAGCTCTTCATCTCCACTGCTGCGGTTGTGCAATATCATGCTTGGCGACATGTCGTTGTTCCAGGAACTTCGCCAATAGGCCTTATTACGGCACGCCACGAGAGTGAAGTGTACAACGCCTCAACAATCCCATTGGCGGCCCATGGACGATGCGAGAAATGCGAGGAAACACGTGAAGTGTACCTGGGGGCCGAAATCGGATTGGCCAATCAGCTATGATCTTGGTCGCTACACAATATTGAAAATAGTGCTGTAGGTCGTATAAACCTTCAGCCGCAGTCTCTAGACGGTGAAGATGTCCCTTGTGCAGACCGGAAAGTTTGGGTCAAGCAAGTATGCCTTGCGCCAAGGTGGTTGCAGAGCTCTTGCTGCGGCGAGGCGTGTACCTAGGTACTGTCACAAGCAGCCTACAATGACCACCATCTGAGCTTCCTTGATTTAGAGGACGGCATGATCTGCACAACTGCTCCAGTAGGATCGTTGGTAATTCTTCACTTTATGGTTTGTTAGGACGCGCTCGTCGATGCGCGCCCACAGTGAGCCACGGGGGT